CAGTGCCCAGGCCCACCCAGAAAGAAAAACTGGAAAAAAGGGAGGGCGGGGAGGGGAGATGGAGGGAGGGAGGGTTGGATTCGATTCGGGAAGGGGCATTTGAGAAAAGAGGGGATGGAGGGGTGGAGGGAATGGGGATGGGGGAGGGGGATTGGAGTTGGGAAGGAGGGATGGAGGGAGGGGTGGCGGGGGGAGGGCGGGGTTTGTGGGAAGCAAAATCTGGCGGGGCATTTCGGGCTAGGGCGTTTTCGGTTTCTACGGCGCTTTGGCGGGGGTGCCTCCAGCTCCCCCTTCTTCTCCTTCTGGGCTTTGGGGGGGTCGCATTTCCCCTCTCCTCCTCCCCCGTCCTCCTTCTCCTTCCCCCCTCGGTCTTAGCCGTGTCAGGTTATCGCTGTAGCGCGAGCTGCGGCGAAAGCTGCTGGCGTCGCGTGTCCCATTGCGGATCCTGGTGCAACTCTCAGCCATGCGCGGCGGCCCGCATGATAAACCACCCGGGCCTTTAAACCAACGGGACGTCATCGTCTGCTCTTTGTGCGACCGGCGAGTCGGGAAGCCATGCTGGGCCACCCATGCGAGGGATTGTGTCAGCGCTTCCTCTGCGCTCGCGGTTGAGCCGCAGTGGTTGGGCCTTGACCCCAACCGTGCGCCAGTTCAGTCTGTTGCTCAAGGACTGCCTGTTGCCCATCGCGCCGATATGAAGATAGCGGGGGGTAAACTGAAACAGTGCCACCTCCGGACGGGGCAAGCCTTCGTGCCCGACCCCCGCATCAGCGGGGCTTGCTACACTTGCGGTTGGAGCTCCTTCAAAGGTGCGTGGATGGGGCCCGAGGGTTGCAGCGTCGGCGCGCTGTTCCTCTGCGCCGCGTTCATCGACTCGCTGTTCGAGACGAAGGCTTTGACGGGCGCGGCGCAATTCATGACCAACATGGGCATGGATTCTAGCAAGCGCTTGCCACATTCCCGTTATCTGGCCCAAGGTGGGAGTGCGTTCTTTGCGCTTAGGGGTTTCGCATTTCCCCTCTCCTCCTCCCCTTTCCTCCTTCCCCCTTCCCCTCTCGCGGAGTCTTGTCGGGGCTCTGCTCCTAGTGGAGTCTTGTCGAGGCTCTGCTCCTGGGGCCGATCGCCGTCCGTCCTTCCGTGCAACGTGACCCAGACCGACGCAAAATGGCGCGCCAGATTCTGCCCCCCACCGAAATTTGCCCCGCCAGATTCTACCTCCCGCGCGGCTGCCGCCATCGTCATCGTCATCATCAGCATGACCTTCCTCTTCCTCATCTTGAGACATCCTCGCAACGCTGGCCTCTGATACGCCCTGCCCCAAATTGTGCTGGCCATTTCCGCCCGCGCAAAAACTCGCCTCGTTCACCTGGGGGGACGTGCCCAGCCTTGAAATAGTCTGACCCCCGATCTGCCCCGGGATGCGATGTTCAGACAACTTTCGCCCGGGGCGCCCTCGCACTTCTGACTTCGGAGGTGCCCTACCCCATGGCGGTCCGACCACTTTCGCCTGCGACATCCTCGCAACAGCGGCTTCCGAGACGCCTATGGCTGACCTCTTCAGGCCACTTTCGTCTGAGACAACGACCTCGCATATGCCCTGCCCCAAGTTGGTTCGGCCACTGTCGCCTGAGACCCTCGCAGGCCCTGCACTACCCGCGCAAAGCATCGCGCGCGGCGGGAGATGCTCGGACCCCTGCGGGACTCCGTCCGCACCAGAGACTCAGGCTGATCAAACCGAGCCGCCCCAGAGCGGGGTGCGCCGTCCGCGCCAGAGCCAAACGCAAAACTCACGCCGTCGCCGTCGTCGTCGTGGCGGGGGACTGACAACCAGCCGATAACCCGATAAACCGATAAACCGATATGCGGCACAAGGATCGCCTCCACAGGTTCCCCCCCAGCGGTCTCAGACCAGCCAGTCAACCGATGAACCGATAAACCGATAAACCGACGAAGAGAGGGGGGCGCGCCAGCAATCGCCTGTATGTTCGCATTCGAAGATTTTCGGTTTTTCGGTTGAGCGACCGATCCACCGATAAACCGATCAAATTATATCGGTTTTTTCGGTTGATCGGTTTGCTAACCGTTCAACCGATTAGTTTTTATCGGTTGATCGGTTTATCGGTCGGATGGATTTCCGGAAGCCGTTGCCGCTGCACTCATGTTTTTGTTTCCGAGCGTTTCCGCAACCCGGAGTGGTTTTCCAGCAGTTGCGCTTGGCCGCGGGCGTTCGGAGGATGCCAGAATCGTCCCGAGCGGCCGCCGGGAAACGGAGTTATGCTCCGAAAGCCAGCGGCCCTCCAAGCAGTGGGAGATTCTCTAGGCCTCCCAGATTCGGGGGTGGACAGACCTCCTACCCTGACACGTCGATTACTGAATTGTCCGTTTTCGGTTCTCAAGAGGGCGCCGCGTCCGTCATTTTCCAGGCTTGCGCCCGCCAGGTTTGGGCCCGAGGTCGTTTTCACTAAACCACGTTTTGCTGCAGGGGGGTCTGTCCATCCCCGATTGATGGGGTACGTGTAGGTGGGGCCGGAGGATCGCGCCGCATCGCCGATGCATCGGCGATGCGGCTCGACGTGGAGCCCGATTTCCTTCACGTTGACGGCCTCGATACATCGGCGATGCGGCGCGATCCTTGGACCCCACCTGCTCGGACCCCACTTGCGAGGCCTCTGACTGTCAGTGCCCCTGACTGCTCGACCACATATTCTTGCTTTGCACCTCCAGCACCTGGTTTCTCAGTTTCGCCACTTCCGCCCCCCTTGGTCTCTTCCCCCAGGCCGAACCGACTGATTGGTCCGTGCTCGTCATTCTGAGAACACGGAAAGGCTCAAAGAGGGGGGAAGAGGAGGACGAGGACAAGGTTGCGGACGAGAAAGACCGGACTGATATTGATGATGACGATGATGATGTTGATGATGATGATGATGATATGATGGTGATGGTGATGGTGATGGTGACGGTGATGGTGATGGTGATGATGATGATGATGATGATGATGATGTTCTTGATGATGATGATGCTGATGATGATGACAGTGATGATGTTCTTGATGAGTATGATGGTGTTGCTGATGTTAGTGACGAATGTGGTGGTGATGGTGTTAGTGATGGTGATGGTGATGGTGATGGTGGTGATCATGATGATTGTTGTGATTGGTTTGGTGATGGTCGTGATGATGCTGACGATAATTATGGTGGCGACGATGCTGATGCTGATGATGATGTTGTGGATGATGATAATGATGCTGCTGCTGATGGTGATGCTGATGATTATGATGATGATGATGATGATGATGATGAGGATGAGGATGATGATGATGATGATGATGATGATGACGATGATGATGATGATGATGATGGTGATGATGATGGTGATGATGATGATGATGATGATGTTCATGCTGTTGCTGAATATGATGGTGATGATGATGAGGATGATGCTGATGATACTGATGATACTCATGATTATGATGAAGCTCATGATGACGACGATGACGATGGTGCTGCTGATGATTATGATGCTGTTGCTGGTGCTGATGCTGCTGATGCTGCTGAGGATGAGGAGGAGGAAGATGATGATGATGAGGTGGAGGAGGAGGGGGATACCGAGATTGAGACGGAGGAGAAGGCTGCGGGTTTGGGACTTGGTGCGGATTCTTCGGCTTGCTGTGGGTGTGCGCGGGCGGCGGCGAAATCCGAACCTTACCCTCGCCGACCAACGATTCGGGCAAGTCGATGGTCTGTGGGGTTAGAGTTTGGAATATGTCGAACACGTTGCGAAATCCGAGCCCTGACCCCGCCTACAATCGATTCAGGGGACTCGATGGTTGGTGGGGGTAGGGTTCTGATTTCGTCAGCCAGACTGGTGACGAAAAGCTTGCCCAGGGGGAAGGGATGCCCCATGGGCCCAGTATCCAGTTTCCTCCTGACCCGCTTGCTTCATGGCGCCAAGCGAGGCGTGGTCGCGACGTCGCCACCTAACCAGGGGGGCGATGCTACGCGACGTCGCGATGTCGTAACCTAGCCAGGAGAGGAAGGAATAGGGGGAGGACCAGGAGGAATACGACGGCGACGAGGAGGAGGACGAGGCGGAGGCGGGGACCGAGACGGAACAGGAGGAGAAGGACGAGGACGAGAGATTGATGAGATTTGCCCGCTCCCCCGATCGTTTCCTCTCTCCCTGCTTCCCTGTCGCTTGTTGTTCATCACCACACGGCTGGGAGTTCGACTCATCCCCTACAGTCGACCCGCATAGTAAGGATGAGCAACTTACCAATGTTACCCGTGCTTCCCTGCCCCTTCTGCCCATGTTTGCCGACTTTCGGTGGCCAAACTCGGTCGAAATACATGAACGTGAATCTCCAAGGCCAATGCATCCTTACCGCGCATCCTTATCATACGGATTATCTGCACAGTCCACCCGCATGATAAGGATGGACAACCTTCCCAAGGGTACCCTGGCATCCGTGCCCCTTCGGCCCATCCTTGGCGACTTCCGCTGGCCAGCCTCGTTCGACAAATGTCAGCATGAACCTCCCAGGCCCTTGCATCCTTGCCGCGAATCCTTATCAGACGGGTTGACTGCAGTTGCCGACCGACCGACCGACGAGGATCACGGCGTCGCCGACTTTTTCGGGCACGGGGGCGGGAGGCGGATGAGGAGGAGGGAAGGAGGCGGAGATGGAGGCGGAGGCGGAGGCGGAGGCGGAGGCGGAGGCGGAGGAGGAGGAGGAGGAGGAGGAGGAGGAGGCGGAGGAGGAGGGGGAGGAAAGGGAGGAGGAGGACGGGGGGGAGGAGGAGGAGGAGGAGGGAGGAGGAGGAGGAGGAGGAGGATGAATGAGGGAGGAGGAGGAGGAGGGGGAGGAGGGTAAGGAGAACGAGGAGGCGGAGGAAGAATCAGAAGAGGAGGGAGAGTAGTTAGTGACGAGGAAGAGGGCGTCGGGGCGACGAGGGCGTCGGCGGCGGGCCGCGGCGGCGTTCCGCGGCGGCGGGCGCGGAGAGGCTGCACGGCATGCCGCCGGTGCCGCCGGCCATGGGGCCCCCGCCGCCTCTGCGCCCGCGGCCCTAGAGGGCCCCGCCGGTCGTCCGCGGGGCTTCGAGGGCCTCTTCGCCCTCCCCTGCCTTCTCCTCCTCCTCCTCGCTGATCGCCCTCCTCCCCGTCCTCCTCCTCCTACTCCTCCTCCTCCTCCTCCTCCTCCTCCACCTCCACCTCCTCCTCCTCCTCCTCCTCCTCCTCCTTCGTCCGCGGGGCTTCGAGGGGCACTAATCGCCATGGGGCAAGCGGGTCCTGAGGGAAACGGGTCCTGAGGTTTTTTTCGGTGGGTGGGGACATGAGTGAGGCTGCCTCGTGAGGTCACTCAGGTGGCAACTTTTTGGAGTAGATGCTGAGAGACATCGACACAGGCGCCCTAGACTCGTTCTGTTCTGTTTTGTTGTTGTCGTCCCCCCTCCTCGTTCCAGCCGAGCCGCTCTCGGGAAACGGGTCCTGAGGATGTTCTCAATTTTCGGGCTCTCGGGAACCTCCTCGGGGCCTGGAATCGTCAGAGAACGGCTCAGGATGAAGAGCTCGCCCTGGAGGATTGCGCCAGTGTCCAGGACCCGTTTCCCGCAGGACACGTTTCCCCATGTTAGGAGGACATGGATCGAGGCTCGAGAGTGGAGTCGGGGCCATATGGAAGAGGAGGAGGAGGAGGAGGAGGAGGAGGAGGAGGGGGGAAATGAGGAGGACAAGGAGGACGCGGGGTGGTGCGAGGAGGAGGAGGAGGAGGAGGAGGAGGAGGAGGAGGTATGGGAGGGCGAAGACGGCGCGAACGAGGATGAGGAAGCGGCGGCGGCGGAGGTGGAAGGGGGGTCCCAGCCCCAGGTGGCTTAGTCTTCAAACGAAGCCGCCTGTATCGTTATTACCATGCCGTGTGTTCGTTCAAGACGGGAGGCGGCATCGAGTCAAGGGTGGGCGCGGCGGCCAAGGGCTGATGGGCCTTCGAGGGTCGATGGTCGGGGATCGAGCGGGATTGAGCGAGGGTCGGTCGAGGGTCGAGAGTCGATGGGGGCCTCCTTCGCCCTCTTCATGGGGGCTTTTGCTCCCCGCGGGCCCTCCTCCGGACCTCCTCCTCCTGCCCCCGTTTCCTCCTGCGACTCGGCCACTTGCGACGGCGGACACGGTGCTGCCTGCTGGCACGCACGAGCCAGTGCCGTGCGGCAAGGGCTTCCGATGCTGCCGTTGCTTCTGCGTCGCAAGGACGCGTGATGGCTACACGCTTGCAGCGTGCAGCCCAGGTACATGGGCCCATTTCTCTTTTGCGCGAGGTGCGGAGCGCACTCGAGCGAGAACGCCCAGCTCCTCGCGCAGCCTTGACTCGGGGTGGTTCCTCCGCAGGCGCGGTCCCGCCTGGGCCGCCTGTGGGAGGGCAAACACTCGCGCACTGGCTTGCCGTTGCCCTTGGCCAGCGGCCGGGTTCGGCCACGGCCGTTCGCGGACTACGTCCTCGACAACTTGGTCGGAGACCTGGTTGTCGTGGACGAGGATGCGGACGGTGCGTAGGCCCCTGGCTGCGCATGCTGGCGCTCCCCGTTGGTGAGGTGCTCGGGCTCCTTTCCCTCGGTCGGGCTTGCGCCCGAGCCGCCCAGTTGTGCTTGCACGCTTGGCGCCGCGCCTGTTGAAATTCTAGACGCTTCGCGTATCCCCACCAGCTCTCGCAAATTTGCAATGTACCGCGCCCCGGACGTTGTGACCGCTCCCTGGGCTTTTCCTTGGAGCCGCGACCAAAAAAGTATCCCCACCAGCTGCCAGTTGTTTGTCTGGGGTGTTGCTCGGAGCTTGGCGCCGCAAGGGCGACGTTCCGTAGCACCCGCACCACTGTGCGCGCGTTCTTTTGGACCGGGCGGCGCCCAGGTGCGTCACTGCGAATGAGGAGCATTTTGCTCAGTGCACGTGCGCCGCACTTTGTGTGCAATTAGCCTGTACCGCCGTCCCGGACACGCTTGTTGCCACCAGACCGTAGCCGCGCGGCCGCCGACCAAAACAACATATCCCCACCAACCCATCCAGAAACGACGCCCAGGCGAGTAGAGGGTCGTCCTGGTTTTTTTTTCGGCGTCTTGGGTGCCTCGGGGGGGCCTCTTTGGGCCGCTTGGGATCCTCTTGGGGGCGTCCTGGGGGCCTCTTGGGGCCTCTTGGGGCCATCTTGGGGCCTCTTGGGGCCTCCTGGGCGCTTCTTGGGGCCATCTTGGAGGAAATCGATCAAAGAAAAGGGGAGCTTCAATTAGGGTTGCCCCCTCTGGAGGCCAAAATGAGGCCAACCATAGTAACATCAATGAGGTTGGCTCCAAAAATGAGGGGGGCTTCAATTAGGGCGCCCCCCTCAGGAGGCCAACATGCGACCAAAACCCAACTAACATCAATGATGTCGGTTTCAAAAAGAACGGAACATAAATTAGCATTGCCCCCCCCAGGAGGTCAATGAGGCCAAAATTTTAGTTACATCAATGATTGCGGCTTCCTCGCCGAGGCCTGACCGCTCGCGGCCCCCCTTGTCCAGGTCCACGGGGAGGGGGTCGGGTCGGGGGAGGGGTAATCCTCCTCCTCTTCCTGCTCCTCCTCCTCCTCCTCCTCCTCCTCCTCCTTCTCCTCCTCCTCCTCCTCCTCCTCCTCTTCCTCCCCCCCTTCCTCCTTGCCCCCCCCCCTCCTCGTCCTGCTGGCCTTGCTCCCCCCTCCCCCTCCTCCTGGTCCTGCCTCACACCCTCCTCCCTCCTCGTCATCCTCCTGTGCTCCTCTCCTCCCCCTCTCCCTCCCCCTCCGCCCCTCCCTGCCGCCCCCTTCCCCCCTCCTGCTGCCCTCGTCCTGCGCCCCCCCTCCCCCTTTGTCCCTCCTCGCCCGCTCCTCCTCCTCCTCCTCCTCCTCCTTCTCGTCCTCCTCCTCCTCCTCCCCCTCCCCCCCCTCCTCCTCCTCCTCCTCCTCCTCCTCCTCCTCCTCCTCCTCCTCCTCCTCCTCCTCCTCCTCCTCCTCCTCCTCCTCCTCCTCCTCCTCCTCCTCACCCTCCTCACCCTCCTCCCACTCTCTCTCCTCCTCTCGCTGCTCCTCTTCCTTTTCCTTCCCCCTCCTCGCCCTCCTCATCCTCGCCGTGCTGCCGTCGTCGGCCTCGCCGCCGTCCATCGCTCGAGGTCCGATGGTTGAGCTGGGTCGAGGGTCGAGTGTCGAGAGTCGAGGCTCGGAAGTGGGGTCGGACGGGGAGGGGGTCGAGGGTTGAGCTGGGTCGAGGGTTGAGCTGGGTCGAGTGTCGAGAGTCGAGGCTCGGGTCGAGGGTTGAGCTGGGTCGAGGGTTGAGCTGGGTCGAGGGTCGGACGGGGAGGGGGCTGCAGCCGGGCTCGGCCCTGCCACCTGTGGCCGTTGATGCTTTGACGCTTCGGGCGCCCGGGGACGCCAGGAAGTCCAGCTGCATGCAGATTTCTTCCACAGCTCGACTCGGCCGGAATGAAGAGGCTAGGGACAGGGAGGTCTCTTGGGGCCATGCTGGTACCCTTTTGGCGGTCTCTTGGGACCCCTGGGGGGCTCTTTGGGTTCTCTCGGGGGCCTCCGTCGGCCTCTTGCGGAGTTGCTGGCGGCATCGTGGGTCATCCCGGGGCGGCGGAGGGCTTGACATATCAGTCAGGGTTCACCCTCTTGGGCCCCACCTTGTGGTCCTCCTGGGGCCGTCTCGGGGGCCTCCTGGGCCGTGCTGGGGCCCTCCGAGAACGTGTTGGAGCTTCGTTGGGGGCATATTGTTCCGTCTTGGCTGGTGAAGGTTGCCGTTTTGTAATTGGGGCCCTCGCCTCAGCGCCACGCACATTCGTTTCAAATGATCGCAATAGCAAAAGACTTCGCGTCATCTTCAAAGCTCTCGTCGTAGGGCCACGTACATGTGTCTTACAAGCTTGCAGCAGCCACAGGGATGAACGGCGGCGTCTCTCCAAAATGGGTGCCTCGCCTGAGCGCTGCGCGCATTCGTCCTCAGAGGTTTGGATCTTGACCTTGTGCCGCGCAGAGCCGTTTTCTGTGCTGGGGCTTGCAGCAGCCATGAGGATGGAGGACGGCTCCTTTTCACAATGAGGCTCTCGCTGGAGACCTACATCCGTCAATCAAGACGCAAGAAACTTCAACAGATGCAGCAGCTGCACGTACGGAATCCGCCTCGCATTCCACCCTTAACCGCTGCATCTGTTTGTCCACGGGTTTTACTGTTGTTCAATTGCCACAACAGGCAGGCGGGGAGGCCGATTTTGTTGTTCCCCTTCGTAAGTTTCTATCGTAATTATGATGTTCGGGAGGGTCGATCCAGACATCACACCATTCCGGGAACAGTTTATTATCCGCCCTGGACCCCGAATTTTCGCATCCCCTGGGGATGTTTCTCACGGGCATCGGATATCCTCCTCCTCCGCCTCCTCCTTATGTGCTAGAGAGGTGCAGGCAGTTCCTGTTCGAAGTCGTCACTCGCCTGCATGGCAGAGCCCCCGGGGTGCTGGTCTTCCAAGGGGTGATTCCTCTGCAGTGAGATGGCGGGGGCCTGGGACGGGAGGGTGTCCTCCAGCACCGCTGTCGCACCTCGGGCTCGCGGCGTTGGTTCTCATCCTCCTCCGCTTCCCTCTTGGCATCGCTCGGACGTGTGCTTTGTCCTTCGGCGACGACCATCGAGGAGCATGACGATGCCGACTACCCTGACGCCGACGCCGGCCACGACGCCGACGCCGACGCCGACGGACGCCGACGGCCGCCGACGGACGCCGCCGCCGCCGCCGCCGACGACGACGCCCGCCATGCGGCAGAAGCGCCCCGGGCGCTCCCCGCCGAGGCCCGACGATGCTGCCGCCGGGGATGCCGCTGGCGCCCGGGATGCCCCCGCCGATGCTGCCGCCGTTCGGGCCGCCGCTGGTAGGCGCGCCGCTCGGCCCCCCACGCGCCCGCCGGCGCGGCGGGCTCTGCGCGCGCTCCCTGGCCAGGTCCAGCCTCCTCCTCCTCCTGCTCCTCCTCCTCCTCCCCTGCCTCGTCCTCCTCCTCCTCCTCCTCCTCCTCCTCCTCCTCCTCCTCCTCCCCTGCCTCGTCCTCCGCCTCCTTGTCCTCCTCCTTCGGCTCAGCCTGCCCTGTCCTTCCCTCCTCCTCCTCCTCCTTCTCCTATTGCCTGCCTTGTCCTCATCGTCATCGTCCCCTGCCTTGTCCTCCTCGTCATCGTCCCCTGCCTCCTTGTCCTCCTCCTTGTCATCCTCCTTGTCCTACTCCTCCTCCTCCTCCTCCTTCTCCTCCTCCTCCTCCTCTTCCTCCCCCTCCCCCTACTCGTTCTCCTCCCTCAGATTGGCAACCCTCATCCTGATTATCATGATTCTCATCCTTCCCCTTTGGAGACCTGTCGGGCCATGCGCTCCCGCAGGCGACAGAGCCGCCTTCATGTTCCAGTCGCGCCAGCAGCTTTCGTCCGCGACGCCCAGAGCAGCCGTCGGCCGTTGCCGGGCCGCTGCCCAGAAGCCGCGTGGCCCGGGTCCCAGCACCACCACCCCTCGCCGGCGCTGTCCCGCTCCCAGTCCCCGACGTGCCCGCCAAACAGCTGTGGTTTAGAAAAGAGGGGAACTCTGGGGAGCCACCGCCAGGTCGGGCGGGAGAAGGGGGCGAGGATCAATCCGCTGCAGAGCGTTCCGGAATGCTCTCAGAGCGTTCCGGTACGCTCTGAGAAGGCGGCCGCGCCCGAGACACATTGCAGATCCGTTGGTTCTCAGAGATCCTCGATTTGTCCTCACCCGGATTTGTTCTCGTCCTGGTTTCGTCTTACCAGGATCGTAGATCCCCGACTTGGGCCTCCAACGTGTTTCCAGAAAGTCCCGCAGCGTCGGGGATTGGGTTATGTTGCTCCCATCGCACTTAAGGACAACATCCCAAAGATGATTTCGAGCACCCAAACAACTATCGAAACAGTGTCGAACGAGCGTCGCCTTCCAGGGCCCCATACGCGAAAACCCTGCAGTTTCGGTACTTTCTTGGTGCTCGAAGCATTTTCTGGTGATCAAGGCTAAAGAAGGCTGGAACATCAGAAGGATTGGGGTCGCCAGGCCCCCGAACCCCCTGGGCCCCCCCTGGCGGCCCCCCTCGGCGGCGCCTCCGGTGCTGCCCCTGGCGCGCGGTCCCGCGCGCCAAGGGGAGTCCAGCGCCCGTCCGAGAAATCCGCGCGGAGCTCCGAAGGTTCGTGTTTACTCCCCCAGTTCCCTTCCAGTCCTGATGGGCTTGGTTTCCACCACCACCATGAGTTGGAGGGGGGAAGGAGGTGGAGGACGAGGAGGAGGAGGAGGAGGACGAGGAGGAGGAGGTGGAGGAGGAGGACGAGGAGGTGGAGGAGGAGGAGGTGGAGGAGGACCCCTTCCCTCTCCAACTTATGGTGGTGGTGGTGGACAACATGCCCATCACCCCCCCCGGTTGATCGAGGTGCAAGCCAGCTGCAGGGCTCCCCAGCGCACAAGCGGATTTGCAAAGGCAAAGGGCATCAGTCGACGCTCACGAGGGCGAGGGTGTCCCCTCCTCGGCAAGGGCCTCCATCCCAACTGGTCTGGGTCGCAGCCGATGTGGCAGCGATAGTCCTGTGCAGCTGTGCTGGCGCGCGGGCCTCTGCGAGACGCCCGCCGTGCCTCCTGACCGGCGCTTTGGCTGAAGCTCCTCAGTGAGGCCGGTGCCATTACGACGCAAGTCCTATTGCTCTGTGCAGGCCCCCTGGAGGACTCGCCCTCCTCCTCCCCGCACCCCCTACTCCCTGGAGGAACCGCTCTCCTCCTCATCCTCCTCCTCATCCTCATCCTCATCCTCATCCTCCTCCTACCCCTCCTCCTCCTCCACCTCCTCCTCCTCCTCCTCCTCCTCCTCCTCATCATCATCATCATCATCATCATCATCATCATCATCATCATTATCATTATCATCATCAACATCCTCATCCTCATCCTCATCCTCATCCTCATCCTCATCATCATCATCATCATCATCATCATCATCATCATCATCAACATCAGCACCCTCGTCCCTGCACCGCCCCATGAGGGCGCCTAGCGCTCGCAGGCCATCTCCCAAATCCGCTGCCTGGCCCCTCGCGCGAGAGTCTAGACGCCCAGGCCTCGCCTCGCGAGCAGGCCGCACCGAGGTCACGGCTCTGGACCGCACGGCAGGCGCAGTTGTTAGCCGTTCGGCGTCGGACCTTGACATGCCGTCGACACGAGGGCGTCGGCGCGAGACATGGGGAGGCGCGTGCGCGTGACCTTGTGCTTATGGTCGGGACAACCGACATGGGTACGGAAAGAATGGGTACAATGCCCAACAGCAGTTCCTGTTCATTTTGAAGAGGGCTCGCTGTCCGCGCCGCCGCGGCCTGTGTCCCTTCGAGACAGAAGGCCGCCTGCCCAACAGCGGCCGCCGTTGGTTTGGGACAACATTTGTTGTTGGGCATTGTACCCATTCTTTCCGTGCCCATTTCGGGTGTCCAAATACAGCCGGGGGCCTTGAGAAGGAACGCTTTTCGTTGGGGAGGGGCTCCGCGTTCCTTAAGTGTTTCACAGCTTGCCTCAGGTTTTCCCTATGATTTCGATCGGAAATCGAAGTTTAACTTATGGAAAAAAGGGGCCTCGTTCCTTATTTAGGGTTCCTTAGGTCAACGCCCCGACTGCATGGAAGTCCAACGGATTCGTCGCCCGCGGCTCGGCGACGACGCGACACGCCGCACCGCGCACGAGGCTGCGGACGCGCCCGCGCGCTCCGCGAACGGGACGTCCTGGCTGGCACCTTGCCCGCGCAGGTGCGCGGGGCGCCCGCGTCCTCGGCCGCCTTCCGTCGGGGCTGCGGCCGCCGTCGCCCCCCCCCCCCCCTGCGAGGGCGTGGTGGGGGCTAAGCTTAAGTCGAGCCTGTCCCCCTACATGGGGATTTTCGACTATTCTTTCTTTAACCCCCCAAAAAAGGCACACACACACACAAATGAGTAAACAAATGTCTAAAACTAGTCTGGGGATTACGTTTTGGGGTATGGTTTGACCTTTTTGGGGTATGTTTGGTGTACTTTTTATGTTTCGTCGAAAATCCCCCTGCAGGGGGACACGCCCGACATAAGGCTAGACTGTCGCGTGGACAATCTCGTCCGCGCAGCGCGGTGCGACGGCGCGCACGCGCGCGTGCGCGTGAATATACGCGCAGGTTCCGAATAAAGCTGCGGCGCATGGAGGCAGGTTGAGTTGTCCAGCCCTCCCCGCCGTGCCAGGGGGGGGGGGGGGCACCCTCCCCAGCGCGCCGCTCGGGGGGGCACCCTCCCCAGCGCGCCGCTCGCCGCGCCAGGGCGGATTAGATTCACGAGCTTCGCTCGACCTGCCCTCGCCGCCGTGGCAGGTGCTCTAGCGAGCGTCGCGCATACCCCGGGGCACCTTCCCGCGCGCGCCGCCCGTCCGCGCTAGTCGGGGGCCCCCAAACGGGGTGGTGACCACACCGTGTGGTGAGTCCCCAGGGATTCGGGGTCACCGCACGGTTTTGGGACTCGAGTCCCTCTCCGAGGATGTCTGGGGCGACGGGGGCCTCCGAGGTCCCAGACCGCGTGTGGTGACGGACCGTGCGGTGAGGTCTTGGGGGATTTCGAGGTCATCGCACGGTCTGTCACCGCACCGTTTCGGGACTCCAGACCTAGGGCTTGGCATCGCTCGGACGCGTGCATTTTTCCTCGGCGAGGACCATCGAGGACCATCCTGGACCATCGAGCAAGAGAAGCACGCACGAAGCCGAACAAAAGCACGGCAAATGGACGTCCGAGCGACGGCAAGAGGGCGGATCTACAGTCGGCCCGGATTAGTAGGTCGACTCTGCCAAATCAAGGGTACCCGTGTGTCTTGTGTCTCGCGACCCATGCTTGGTACATTCCTGTGGCGATGTGGCCCTCGAAAGGGTTTTGTGTCCTCTCGCGTGTCCTCTCCAATCAAGCCCGACTGTGCTTCACCAGCCTCGCGGTCGCATCCGCGGGCGGCGCGGGCGAGGACGAGCCGAGCCGCCTGCGCGGGGCACGGCACTGTTGGCGTCGGTGCCGGCGGGCGGCGGCTCCGCCGCCAGAGTGCCGCGTGCCTATAGGCCTCCCCGAGGGGGTCTCCTCCTCCTCCTCTCCTCCTCCTCCTCTCCTCCTCCTCCTCCTCCTCCTCCTCCTCCTCCTCCTCCTCCTCACTCCTCCTCCTCCTCCTCCTCCTCCTCCTCCTCCTCCTCCTCCTCCTCCTCCTCCTCCTCCTCCTCCTCCTCGGCTCCTCCTCCTCCTCCTCCTCCTCTCCTCCTCCTCCTCCTCCTCCCCTCCTCCCTCCTCCTCCTCCTCCTCCTCCTCCTCCTCCTCCTCCTCCTCCTCCTCTCCTCCCCTCCTCCTCCTCCTCCTCCTCCTCCTCCTCCTCCTCCTCCTCCTCCTCCTCCCCCTCCTCCTCCTCCCCCTCCTCCTCCTCCCCCTCTCAAGCCTTCTGCGGCCCGAGGTCCTTTTGGGAGAGGCCCGACGACCGCACGGCACTCGCGCGTACCGAGTTCGGGGGCGCACCAGGTGCGCACCACGGGCTCCCGCGGCTTGAGGGGCGCCTGCAGGCGGCGAAAGTCGAGTGTCGAGTTGTTTGATGGGACGGAGCGGCAACGAGAGGGCGAGGAGCAGGGATGGCTCGAGACCGCCTTCCACTCACGGGAAGCGCCGTCAGGCGTATCACGTGTGCCGCAATTGTCCTCGTTCTTGGGTGTACTGCAGCAGAGCTGGAACCCCTGGCTGGGAAACGTGTCGATTGTGTAACGTACCCTGGCCGAAGCCATCCAGCAGGAAAGAGGTCACCTTCGCACTGGAGAGTGGAGAGACGGGCAGCACCCTCCTCGAGCAGCTGCTGCCAAAGTACAGGTCGGCCAAGGACGCCAAAGAGGAGGACACCATCAAGGCGCTGGAGATGGTGTGCCCTGAGCTGGCGGATGCACTCAAACCTGTACCTCCCAAGGCTCCAGAGGTTCTTTTGGAACAACATGCAGCGTGTCTCCGCCGTCTCCAGTGCCAGCAAGAGAAGCTCAAGAACCAGGTCGTGGCCAACGCCAGGACAGGGAAGGAACTCCTCGTCAAGCTGGAGGAGAACGTCAGAGCGTGCGCCGAAACACAGGCTGAGGTCAACCGCCTCACTAGCCAGACATCTGCGGCCAAGGGCGCTGGAGTTTCAGCCATGGGTGCAGGAGATGGAGGCAAGTCGGCTGCTACTGACGAGTCCCTCAATTTCCCCGAGCTGGACCCTGAGGATGTTGCCCTCCTCACGCCCGAGCAACAGACCGCCTACGAGGCAGCGCTGGCCAGGGCCAAGCAGGCGCAGGAGGTGTACAAGAACGCGCAGAGCATCGGCCAGCAGGCGCAGGACGCGGCCAAGACGCTACGGGAGTTGCGGGAGACAGCCACCCACAAGCGTCGACGTGCCTCTGGTGCTGCAGGGGTTGCGGCTGGGGCCCCTGCAGCTGGCGCCGAATCGCAGGCCAAGGACGACGAGCAGCCAGCCGAGTCTAACCAGGATTTCACTGACGTCAAGAACGTGGAGGCGTACATCCAGCGCACGGCGTCCATCAAGGCCAGGGCTGCAGCGGCTGAGGCAGCACGCTCGGGCAGCTCGGGAGGAGCTGCATCGGCTGCTGCAGCTGGCGCGGGCAAGACGTCTGGTGGGTGACATGTCGTCCCGCCACAATGCAGATAGAGTACCATTTGGCCAGCGGGATCGTGTCTCGGTCTTCTTCGGGAGCGTCACCAGCTGGAGCCACAAGGTCAAGAAGTTCGTAGAGTCGGCGCCGTACGACCTCATGGGGATGGCAGAACACCACTTGTCCCAAGTGCAGTGCCAGGGTGAGGAAAGGCGCCTTCGCAATTTTGGTTGGAGGTCAGAGGCTACATGGACAGCTGCTACGGCAACAGGGAGGTCTGAGAGAGGCACGCACGGGGGAACGTGCTGGCTCCGAAGGGCCACCTACGCCACAAGCACTCACCTGACAGGCTCGCTTGGCAAGAGTGTGTTTCATGATACCCTTCGGGATACGACGGTTGTGCTATGGAGGTTTCACGGGGCCACCTTCGCCTTCATTGTGTGTTATCTCGACTGTTCCATCGGCATGGCTGGGACCAACTCCAGAAAGATGCACAACATCGCCAGGGTCGTCAAGTCACTGGATGTGCCATGGTTGCTGGTGGGAGATTTCAATGCCACGCCTGCCGAGATGGCAAAGTCGGGCTGGTTGGACGTGCTTCGGGCTCGCGTCGTGACCCCAGAGGGAGTCGAGGTCTCATGCACTTCAGGAAAAGGTCGCATGATTGACTACGCGGTGGTGCCAGACAGCTTCCGTCCCTTCTTATCCCACGTGTTGCCAGTGCAGAATTTGCCGTGGGGCCCTCACATAGGCCCCAACATCCTCATCAGGTCTCGTACCGCATCGGTCTTCCTCCGTGTACCAGTGCTTCCAGTACCCTTGGTGATTCCCGAGGGTGAGTCCAGGGTGCCCAAGGGCCTCAAGAGGTTCCAGAGGGACAGGGAGAAGCATGCGAAGATCCAGGAGATGCGCGACGATATGCACGTGCTGCAGCAGGGCGGCCTGCTCAACGACGAAGACGACCACCTGCTGGACGACCACTACGTCACCAAGCGGGCCCTGAGGTGCGAGGACCAGGAGTGGATCCAGTACGCGTATGAGGCCAGCGAGGATTTCGGTTACTCCTTCCCCCAGGCCGAGGCAGACGTGCAGAGAAGTGAGGCGTACAGAGCTGCCCCGCATATGTCTGAGGTTCTCGCGAGGCAGTATGGCATCTGGTCGATGGCGGCGGAGGCACAGTTGGCAGATCGTTGTGGGGTTGAACTGCGACAGGGAGCCCGCCGAGGTATGCCAGTGAAGTATCAGTGGAGACGTGCAGTTGTTCAGAAGAATGGTTCGAATTTCGGCCACTCCAGTGCCAACGCCCTCAGCAGCAGGTGGGCGAGTCTGCACGCCAGGGTGCAGGAGCAGCTGGTGGCGCTAGGTCGTTTTCGTCATTCGAGATATCGGCAGCGTGTTCAAGACATCGTGACCAGCTTAATGGGCGAGTTGCGCAGAGAGCATGACAGACATGGTCCAGTTCCAGATGGCCATGCAGAAGATATGATTGGGAAGTGGCGAATATTCAGAGATGATGAGCAGGTTCTTCGGCAGGGCGAGCGCATTCGAGCATGCACGGACTTCGCAGAGTGGCAGAACTTCGCGCTGAAGGTGCAGGCCCGCTCGATCCGCCACGCCAGCCTGGCTTGGCAGCAGGCGCGGAGTGAGATTGGCAGCTGGGTGGTCAAGAGTGCGCAGGGCTCCATGAAGGGCGCTCACCGCTACCTGAAGAAGAACGAACAGCGCGCCCTGGACGAGACCTGCATCGACCCCATCATTGGCGAGGTATGTGATACGGTCCAGGGCACAACTGACGTCAGAGCGGCCTGCTGGGCAGCGCGGTGGACCTCCCAGCCACACCGCCTACCAGCAGTCCGTGTTGTCCTCGGTGCGCTGAGGACCCGTGCCCACGAGGATTTGGCCGACCGCACCTTCCACACTCGGGAGCAGCTGGTGGCGACACTCAAACCATTCCCGAAGGGCACGGGCACGGGGCCAGACCAGTGGAAGCCAGCGCACATCCTGGCCCTCTCGGACCAGGGGCAGGAGTCTCTCGTCACGCTCTTCAGCATGATCGAGCGAGGGCTGGCATGGCCGCACCAGCTGCTGCACAACTGGTTCGCGCTGCTGCCCAAGGGCGAGAAGCAGGAGCTGGGCAACGAGAGGGACATCGGCCTCCTGCCGATGCCCGTCAGGATCTGGGGGCGCCTCACCAAGACCCCCCTGACGGAGTGGTGCGACAAACGGGCTGCGCATTGGGATGCCGCGGTGAGAGGCAGCAGCGCGCTCCAGGCCGACCTGCCCACCATGGTCCTGGACGAGACCTGGGCACGCATAGGCCTCAACGAGCAGAGCAATTTTCTGGCCGATGTTGAGAAGTTTTACGACCATCTGGATTTGGCTCAGATGATTTTGCAGGCTATCGAGCCTCAATTTCCTGCGGTGGAGCTGTACCTCTGCTGCCTGACGTATCTTTCGCCTCGGACGGTCAAGGCCCAAGGGGCTTACACCGAGCCCATCGTGCCGAATTGCTCCATCGTGCCAGGATGCGGGAAGGCCAACCATTGTGCAAGAGTCTTCCTGTACCGACTGTTGGAGAGGGCTCATGAGAGGGCCCCGCTGGCGCACATCAGGCAGTACGTCGATGATGTACACGCGCGAGTGGAGGGCCCAAGAAAGATGGTGCTGGACCAGACTAAGACGATCACTTGCGAGCTGGTGCAGGGCATGCTGGACCTGGGACTCCGAGTCTCCCCCAAGTCGCTCTTGATGATGACGAATGCGAAGGACGAGGTGAGAGTGCAGCGGCACGTCTTGCAGAGCACGGGCATCAAGATCAAGCGAGCCAGCTGGGCCAAGGACCTTGGGGTGGACTGCTCCATGGGACTCAAGCGTGCGACCGAGACCGCCAAGGGCAGGATGACCACGGCGCAGGCTCGCGCCACGCGCGCAGCCCTGTTCAGGCGAGTCGGTCGAGGAGGCATCAGAGCCAAAGGAGTCATGCTGCACAATACCAACATCAAGGCGAAGTTTCGATATGCCGATCCAGTCCTGGGAGTGGCGACGTCTGATATGGAGCGCAGGCGTGCCCAAGCGGCAGACTTGGCGGGGCGCGCAGTCGGTGGCAGATGCACGGCCTCAGTCCTGCTGCTCCACTACCAGGACGGCGAGCCCAAGATGAGCGTGGTCAAGGATCAGGTCAAGCAGTGGTTCCAGTTCTGGGAGGCCCATCCAGAGCTGCGAGAACGAGTTCGACGGGGCTGGCGAGCGGTGCTGAAGCGGCTGATATACCTGCGCCCCCGCTCAAGATGGCGGTGCGTGACGGGCCCGATGGGGGCTCTCATCATGACGCTGCGCGAGCTCGGCTGGACCCCGCGAGCTCCAGACCACTGGCTCGACGACCAGGGGAACGAGTGGAAGCACATGGGCGATGCCGCGGGCAGCTACGGCGAGCTGTACGAGGCTCTGTGCTCCTCCGTCAGGCGCGACCTCTGGCAGCAGGCTGGCGATCATCCTGCAGGGCAGGGGCTGCGCGAGGGCGGCGACATGCACATGCTGCGGGTCAACCTGCGGAGGCTCCGTCGTCAGGAACGACACCGAGAGGCAGGTGCGCTGGAGGCGAACGCTCTGGCTTGCATCTGGACGAAGGCTCGTGCCAAATCCTCAGGGTACAGATGTGATGACGTTTGCCCGAGGTGCGAGCTTGGAAAAGACACGATTGCTCACAGATTGTACGAGTGTCAGGCGAATGTCAACATCGACCATGAGTGGGTGTCTCGTACTGAGTCGTTGTGTGAGCATGCTTTGAAAGGTTTGAGTGAGGGCACGAACGTTTGTTTCTGGACTCGGGTGATCGCTCCCCCGTCCTGGAACCCTGCGCCCCCGCCCCCCGAGTGGAACTCTGGAGAAGGCCAAGAGGTTTGGGCTATAGGGCTTCCCCCTCCCGACCTCGACTCCTCCTTCGAGCTCCTCCCTTTTCTTTCCCCCTCCAGGCGCAGGCAGGCTTCCTTGACGGCTCCGCCACGTCCAGCGATGCCCGAGTGCGCCGTGTTGGTTGGGGGGTGTACTTCTGCGTGGAAGGCGAGGCGGAGCTGGACGTGGAAAGAGGGGTCCTCCGCGGGCTGTTCGGAACCATCGACGGACCCCAGACAGTGCCTGCTAGTGGGCTTGCCGCGTTGGTTTGGGCCCTTAAGGTCACCAAGGGGCCCATTGAGCTGTGGTCTGACTGTGCTCTTGTCTTTGGAGGATGGTGTAAAGGCTTTGCCTCAGCTCCGCAGGGCCCGCTCATTCGATGACGGTCTCGGGTGAGAGCGGCCCTGCAGAGCAGAGGCGAAGGGCACGTTGTTCTAAAGAAGTGTTTTTCGCACCTGGATGCTGAGTCCCATATGCGCGTAGGTCAGGATCTGAAAGTGTCTCGGGGAAACGGGATGGCCGACCAGCTAGCCCAACGAGGTGCTGAGGCCGCCGCCGCCCCCATCCGTAGTGCCATAAAAGCTTTGAACGTTGCAGATGCCAGAGCCACCTTAGTGCACCAGAGGATAGGGGCGATGTTGGCCCATGGCTGCTCTGAACTGGATCGGGGGGACCGTGGGGAGTTCGGTGGGTCGCTCGGTTCGGAGTCGGGTCTGTCGAGGGCGGGAGAGCTAGAGGCCAGAGCTGGCCATCAGATGCAGCGTCTCTCGAATGGTCTGTGGTCCTGCAAGTTTTGCCGCCAGTCCCCAGGCCGTTTCTCCCTGGAGGATTGGCTCCAGGCTTTCTTGTGCCCAGGAGATGTAGCCCAGCGTGACCTCAGTGAGCACGGGCATCATGTCAGAGTTTCCCCCACGAATGTGCATTCCCTCAGAGTGGGCGATCGAGTCGTCCACAGCTCCCACTCTATTGCTATGATGAACGGTCTAGCGTGGTGCTGGAAGTGTGCTAGATTCGGGACAGTGGTCCAGGGTGGGGGTCACTTGCGTGAGCTGGTCAACCTCTGTCCCGAAAAGCGCACCAATTCGGGACGCAATTATTTGAACCGGCTGAGCCGAGGTCTCCCCCCCCCAAGGCTGGCAAGGACTGGCCCATCCCCCAAGGCGCTGGAGGCGGCAGAGCGCCACTGCCCGTCGTCGGATCGAACGCCAAGGACTTCCGACGGCGGCGGGGGGATGGAGGGGGGGGGGAGAGTGAGGGCTTTCGATTGTGTGTAATCGAACTGACGCGAGGGGGTGCGTCACGGACGCATCCCCCTCTTGAAGAGTTACTCCAGTTACTCCTCCTCCTCCCCCTCCTCCTCTTCCCCTCCCCCTCCTCCTTCCCCTCCCCCTCCCCCTCCTCCTCCTCCTCCTCCTCCTCCTCCTCCTCCTCCTCCTCCTCCTCCTCCTCCTCCTCTTCCTCCTCCTCCTCCTCTCCTCCTCCTCTCCTCCTCCTCCTCTCCTCCTCCTCCTCCCTCCTCCTCCTCCTCCTTCCCCTCCCCCTCCTCCTCCTCCTCCTCCTCCTCCTCCTCCTCCTCTCCTCCTCCTCCTCCTCCTCCTCCTCCTCCTCCTCCTCCTCCTAGTAGGTCGATCGGGTCGGAGGATCGCGCCGCATCGCCAATGCGTCGGCGCTGCGGCTCGATGTGGAACCCGATTGTTCCCACGCTGGTGTCGCCGACGCGCCGCCGACATCGCCGAGGCATCGCGACTTGCCGACCCCGTTCACTCGGAGCCCACTGGGGAAGCCTCGGACGTTGAACGCCGCTGCCGACGCAGAATCGGTCCATGTTGAACGATTGGACGTTTCGGACACGACCGATCGTTCAAGGTTGGAGGGTCCTCGCGGTGTCATGAAACAGCGGCGGGGTCGACACGACCTGAACCCGCGGCAGTTGGCTACCAGGCAGACTGGGCCTCCTGGTTCAGCGCGATCGCCCACGTAGGACCAGGCGTTCTTCGTCGCTCTCTGTCGGTGCGATCTAAGGGGTGCTGCAAAAAGTGGGCACGACGACCAACAGCAGTTCCTGACCATTTTGAACTAGGCGCTCGCTGTCGGCTTCGCCGCGGACGTTACCAAATTGAGACGCAAGGACTTCTGTCAAGCAGCGGACGGACGTTCTTCCTTGTGGGCAACATCTGCGATTGGGCATCGTAGCCTTCGATTTCGTATCCACGTCGGGCGTCCTAATGTTGCACCCACGGAACAGGCGGCAACGCTCATGCCGCCGCGACCGCCGTGACGCACACGCTACCGAATTGAAAATCCGCCTAAGCGTCGCTCGAGCAAAGCAGCAATGTCGGCGATGACGCCCGAACACCTCTACCTTCCATACTCGAATATCCGCCCTCCTCCCGCATCGTCGCCGACGCGTTTGGCGTTGTAAGGTCCGGACCCTTCAAAATGCCCATCAGCGCATTTGCCAGCACCCACGCAGGCCAACGTTTGGTTCCGATGCGCGTAGGAGCCCGTTCCGCTGGATCCCCCCCCTCCCGCCGCAGTAAAGCGGGGGCGGTCGCGTGCGTGGTAGCACCTGAGGACGGCGATGTCGAGTTTCGATGCGCGTAGGACGCCGCTCCGCTGGACACCCAGGGCGCAGCAGAGCGGCGAGAGTCTTGAGCCTGGCAACGCCCACGGACACACTGCGAGGGTATAAGCATCCTGTTCCCAGTCTGCCCTCTCGCGTCCACCCTCCCTTGCCCCCCCAACCCCGCAACATCACACACACACACACACACGCACACACCTCCTCCTCCTCCTCCTCCTCCTCCTCCTCCTCCTCTTCCTCCTCCCCCTCCTCCTCCTCCTCCTCCGCCTCCTCGTCCTCCTCCTCCTCCTCCTCCTCCTCCTCCTCCTCCTCCTCCTCCTCCTCCTCCTCCTCCTCCTCCTCTCCCCTCCTCCTCCTCCTCCCCCTCCTCCTCCTCCCCCTCCTCCTCCCCTCCCCCTCCTCCTTCCCTCTCTCCCCCTCCTCCCTCCCTCCCTCCTCCTCCTCCCTCCTCCTCCCTCCTCCTCCTCCTCCTCCTCCTCCTCCTCCTCCTCCTCCTCCTCCTCCCCTCCTCCTCCTCCCCCTCCTCCTCCCCCTCCTCCCCCCTCCTATCCTCCTCCTCCTCCTCCTCCTCCTCCTCCCTCCTCCTCCTCCTCCTCCTCCTCCTCCTCCTCCTCCTCCTCCTCCTCCTCCTCCTCCCCGTCCTCCTCCTCCTCCCCGTCCCCCTCCTCCTCCTCCTCCTCCCCGCTCCTCCTCCTCCGTACCCTCTTGGCTCGAGTGCGGGCCCAGCGGGCGTCCCCTCGGCCGCCGCGCGGCCCCGGGGCGTGAGAGCGAAGTCCCGCCATGGGGAGCCTGGCGAACGGCGAGGCGGTCTCCAGCGACGATGCGCGGATGGACGCGTCGGGATTCGAGGAAGCCAACCCTCCTCCTCCTCCTCCTCCTCCTCCCCCTCCTCCTCGTCCTCCTCCTCCTCCTCCTCCTCCTCCTTCCTCTCCTCCTCCGAGAGGAGGAGGAGGAGAGGAGGAAACTGGGTGGTCAGGATGAGGAGGAGGAGCAGGAGAGGAGAGGAGGAGGAGGAGGAGGAGGAGGAGGAGGAGCAGGAGGAGCAGGAAGAGGAGGAGGAGGAGGAGGAGGAGGAGGAGGAGGAGGAGGAGGCGGCGGGGGCGCAGGCGGAGGCGGGGCCGGAGGAGGAGCGTGCGGACGCGTGGTCCAACCTAGAGATGTCCAACTTCGACACGCGCGCGATGGGCGCCGCTACGGCTGCCTACCAGGCGGATATGGCGTCCAAGCACTGCATGGCGCTGGCTGTGTGGGTGCAGCACTTGTGGGGGCAGGTCCACCTCCTACAGGGCAAGGTGACCGAGCTAGAGGACTGGAAGCGCAGGGCGCTTGACGAGGTGCGCAGGCTGCGGGACGACCAGAAGGAGCTCAAGCTGAGGGTCACTGATGCCGCGCAAGAGGGCGGCGTGCTGCCGAGGAGGGCAGACACGGTGCCGGCTCATGGCATCCCGAACCCGGGGCCGCCTCCCGGCTTGAGCACCCCGCCTGGACTGCGGGAGGAGACCGTCGACAGCGGTGCATTCGGCAATCCGAGCGAGCTCACCAGCGGCTGCACCAGCAGCTCCGTGACCACGGAGACCGACGGCATGATCGAGGGCATTCAGGTGACGGAGGGCGAGGTGGAGGGCAAGCCGTGCGAAATTGCGGAGTGGCGCATCGGCCACCTCTCCTCGAAGCTGAATGGATGCATGGGCAAGGCCCTCGTGTCGCCTCCGTTCACGGCCGCTGGGCACGAGGACGTGCGGCTAATGGTGTTCCCTGAGGGCAAGGATGCGGCCAGGGGGCTCCGGAGCAAGCGGCAAAAGGAACTGTACGCAAAGAAAGTCTCGGAGGGGCCCTTGGATGGCTGCCTGAAGATGAAGTTCGTGCCGGAAGAGGGCAGCCTGGTGCTTGAGTACTACCTCAGCGTGGGCAGCGAGAGGCGCGGCCCGTTCAAGCACGACTTCGGGGAGCAGAACATCAACGGCTGCTACGATTTTGGTGTGGACTGGCTGAAGCAGTTGGACCAGGACCAAAGCTTGACAGTGCGGGCGCAGATACTGAAGGCCTGA